GCACTATAGCCTTGCGCATGACCGATTTTAGCACCGCTCCTACATTGATGGGTAGGTCCTTCGTTAGAGCATATACCAAGCATACACGGTCTCTCGTCACCTCGGTAAAATGCATCATTGGTATCAAACAATTCATTACAATTTTTAGCCACACCCTGTCTTCACGATTCATGTGAGCATAAGGATACGATTGATGATAGCCACGATGCCCATGTCTAATCCACTTCGCCGTGGACTGTGCTCCACACAGTGTGTGTTGAATCTGCTGATAAGGAGGGCTGATATTTAACCCCGTCAAGACATCAGAAGGGGCATCTGCAATGCCTAATATTTGATTTATAGCTGAGGGTGTCAGGGGGACCTCCACCCCACGCACTGTTACAAAGTGAGAACGAGCATCGGGTTTCCAATTTGCATAGAATTCTCGCACCATACTAACATTGCACTCTGTTGGATCCTGAAAGATGAATCCCATTCGCAACTCTTGTAGGCGGCGCATAATGCGAAGGAACTCCCTCTCTAGTTGGACGTCATCAAGTATCACATCCGAGAAGTACTTGGCTTCGGTGTGTGATTTGTACCACTTCTTGCCTTCAGAGGTGACTACCTTAGCCTCGTATCGTTGAGTCTACCCTCTTGGGACTGCGGGTGCTGGGGGAATGGTTGTACCCGTTCTCACTCTCTTACGGCTACTAGACGCAACCGCTTTGCTAGGCCTCTATGTGCTTGACATGTTATCCTGCAATCAGACAATTATCATATCAGTTACTGAGATCCAATTATGGAAGATCACCCCACACTTATTTTCGAGCACAACTTCACAAACAACACGGTACTCAGACTTCCCAATGTTATTTTCAGCATACTATTCTCAAAACTCATCCCATTCTAAGCATGCAAACCCTTACTACTTCGATTCTACTCAAGAATTCGAACCAACAATCATCCTTCTACTTCAATCATTTCCCTCATAACCTATTTGTTACTCAAGACTTCACAAACCCCATTTTTTAATTTACCCATACAAAAGCTTCCTTTCTATTATCAACCAAATTAATTTCGACAAATTTTACCACCATGAATAGCAATCAATAGGCAGAAAACTACAAAGAACAACAATTTCAACAAATTAAAATAATTCACCCATCATCCACATGAATACTAGCCCTAACTTTAGTAAATCATCCCAAAGAAAAAACCAAAACAGTAAGATACATACCTTTAGTGCTTAGACCCACGAAAATTGGAGAACTTGGTGAGAAATTTCAACTTCGCGACACGAATTTGTTCTTCGAAAGAGTTAAGGTTGAAGGGGAAAGGAGAATGAATGAAATTTAGAAGAGAAAATGGGATTAAGGGACAAATTTGGGAATTAAAAGGGAATGGAGGTCGGGTTTTACCATATAAGTCAGGTAAAACCTGACTTTTTTAATGAAAATAACCCAAAAACTTACCAAGTCCGCGACGCGGAGCTGTCGCAGACATGCCTTGTGAACTTTGTGTCGTCACATGGTGAAACTTGTGCGTAGTGGAAACAAGTCTGCGACGCGCTCTTGTCACAGACTCCATTGTTAATCTCTCATAAAGTTCATAATTCCCAGCAACAAGTCCGCGACGCGGAGATGTCGCAAACATGACTTGAGAGATTTTCATCATCGCCTGGGGCTATCCTCTTGCAAAAACAAGTCCGCGACGTGGAGCTGTCGCGGACTCCACTATTTTTTTCCCCCAGATTTTTTTTTTTTTTTTTGAATTACAATTTACAACTTTTAAGATAAATGAATTAACATATAACTCAAATTAAACTAAACTAACCTATCAAAATAAAATACAATGCAAATATCTTCTAGAGTACAAAGTCATGGGTTGCCTCCCGAGTAGCGCCTGATTTAACGTCACGACACGACTCAGCTCCCCCTCATTCATTGCTCAGCTCCAAACTTTCTTCTTCTCGATCCACCTCTTGTTCGAAATAATGCTTCACCCTTTGTCCATTCATGATGAACGTGGATTGCTTACCTTCATTCCATAACTCTACAGCGCCGTGGTCGGTCATGCGCGCCACCTCAAATGGCCCACTCCATTTTGAATTCAACTTGCTTGGAAACAACCGCAATATAGAGTTAAACAATAATACCTTTTGCCCAGGCTCAAAAAGTTGGATCACAATATGCTTATCACGCTATCGTTTAGTTTTCTCCTTCTAGAGCTTAGCATTTTCATAGGCATGGAATCTGAATTCCTCCAATTCATGTAGCTGACCCATCCTTTTTCTCCCGGCTAGTTCCGGATCCAGGTTCAACTTCTTCACTACCCAGTAAGCCTGATGTTCTGTTCAACTGGAAGGTGACACATTTTACCAAACACCAAATGATAGGGATAAACCCCTATTGGTGTCTTATAAGCGGTCATGTACGCCCGTAATGCATCATCAAGCTTCATTGCCCAATCTTTCCTTTGGGCTTTTACTATTTTCTGTAGAATCTACTTCACTTCCCGGTTTGACACTTCTACCTGGCCACTAGTTTGAGGGTGGTATGTTGTAGCCACTTTGTGTCTGACTCCATATTTAGCTAAGACATTCTTCACCAATTGATTTATGAAATGTGTCCCTCCATCACTGATTATTTCTCTAGGAGTTCCAAACCGAGTAAAGATATGCTTCTTCAGAAACTTCAGAACCACTTTCACATCATTAGTAGGCAAAGCTACTGCCTCAACCCATTTGGACACATAGTCCACAACCACAAGTATATATTTCTTTCCATTTGATGGAGGGAACGGTCCCATGAAGTCGATTCCCCAGACATCAAATATTTCAACCTCCAAGATGTTATGCAAAGGCATCTCATGTCGTCTGGAAATAGACCCCATCCTCTGGCATTGATCACAACTTTTAACATACCCTACAACATCTTTAAATAGAGTAGGCCAGAAAAAAACTGATTGGAGCACCTTATGTGCAGTGCGCTCACCTCCATGATGACCTCCATATGCAGACGAGTGGCAACAATCCATCACTTGTCTCATCTCAGACTCAGGCACACACCTCCTCATCATTTTGTCTGGCCCTTGATTGAAGAGATAAGGCTCATCCCATATGTAGAACCGAGAGTCATAAATCAGCCTCTTCTTTTGGTGTGTGGTTGCACCCGGTGGGAACAATCCGCTAACCAAATAATTAACAATATTTGCATACCATGGTAGTTCGATCACCTCTAGTGCCAATAGTTGTTCATCAGGAAACTCTTCCCGAATCGGACCTTGCTCTCGCACATGTGACGAACTCTCCAATCTTGACAAGTGATCTACAATCTGGTTTTCAGAACCTCTTCGGTCCTTGATCTCTATGTCAAACTCTTGCAGCAATAGAATCCACCTGATTAACAGTGACTTTGCATCTTTCTTGTTGAACAAGTACCTGATAGATGTATAATCAGTATAAACAACAACTTTAGTTCCTACCAGGTAAGATCTAAATTTGTCAAAAGCACATACCAAGGCTAGCATTTCTTTTTCTGTCACTGCGTAGTTGGTTTGGGCTGCATCCAGTGTTTTGCTTGCATAATATATTAAGTGAAACACCTTCTCTGTCCTTTTCCCTAACACTTCTCCCACAGCCACATCACTTGCATCACATATCAACTCAAAAGGAAGCTCCCAATTTAGAGAAGTCACGATTGGAGCTTCTATCAACTTCTTTTTCAAAGCTTCAAAAGCTTGAATGCATTGCTCATCAAATATGAATTTCATCTCCTTCTCTAGGAGACTGCACATGGGTCTTGTAGTCTTAGAGAAATCCTTGATGGATCTCCTGTAGAAACCAGCATGACCAAAAAGCTTCTCACCCCTTTAATAGAAATTGGAGGAGGTAGCTTTTCAATGACTTCCACTTTGGCACGATCAACTTTCATCCCTCTCTTTGACACCTTATGGCCCAATACAATCCCTTACTTCACTATAAAATGACATTTTTCCCAGTTTAGGACGAGATTAGTTTCCTCACATCTAGCTAGCACCTTATCCAAATTCTCTAAACACCTGTCAAAAGACTCCCCAAACACTGAGAAGTCATCCATGAATATCTCCACAAAATCTTCAACCATGTCATGAAATATAGCCATCACGCATCTCTGAAAGGTGGTTGGAGCATTGCACAGCCCAAACGACATTCGCTTGAAAACATGTCCCATACGGACAAGTGAATGTAGTTTTCTCCTGGTCTTCTGGTGCAATCACAATTTGGTTCTATCCTGAATAGCCATCTAGGAAACAATAATATTCTTGCCCAGCTAACTTGTCCAGTATCTGATCAATAAAAGGAACCGGGTAGTGATCATTTATGGTGGCCTTATTTAATTTCTTGTAATCCATGCATATTCGCCACCCTGTCACTGTCCTGGTTGGAATCAACTCATTTTTTTCATTGGTGATCACTGTCATGCCTTATTTTTAGGCACACACTGAACCGGGCTGACCCACTTGTTGTCTGAAATCGGATATACAATACCCGCATCCAGCTATTTAATCACCTCCTTGCGCACCACATCTTTTATCACTGGGTTTAGTCTACCCTGAGGTTGTACACTTGACTTGTGGCCCTTCTCCATAAATATCATGTGCATGCATAAAGCTAGGTTGATGCCATGTATGTCAGCCATCTGCGAACCTATCGTATTTTTCCTCTTTCTCAATATTTTCAGAGATGCCTTAACCTGTACTTCAGATAAATCAAAAGAAAGGATTATAGGTAAAAATTCATTGGCACCTAAAAATGCATACCTGAGATGAGAGGGGAGAGCCTTTAACTCCAACTTTGGTGCTTCCTCAATTGAAAGTTTGGGAGGTAGTCCCAAGACTGTGTTTAATGGCTCCACAAACTTGCAAAGGATACTCACATTAGGGGCATCTAGAACGTTAGCCAACTCCTAGGCTTCAGCATCTCCCTCAATGTCTTTCCCAATTAACACTTTCTCTAAAGGGTCTCGGGCTTCAACATATTAAGCTGTCATTTCCTTGTCAATGACTGTAATTGCTGACAGCTCCTCATATATTGCAGGCAACTTCATTGCCTTATACACATCAAATACCTCTACCTTGTCATGAGCCCTCATTGTTAGTCTCCCAACCGCCACATCAATTAACGTACCTCCGGTTGCCAGGAATGGGCATCCCAAAATAAATAGGACCTCTGGTTCAGGCTCATAATCCAAAATGACAAAGTCTACGGGGAATATCAGAGATCCCACTTGGACCAAGACATCCTCAATAACGTCATCTGGCCTTTCTATCGAATGGTCCGCTAACTGCAACATAATGGTTGTGGACTTGGGCCTTCCTAGTCCCAACTTAAGAAATATGGACGTAGGCATCAAGTTGATACTTGCACCCAAATCGCACAACACTCTTGCCTCAATACACTTACTAATTTTTATCTCAACAGTAAAACTCCCTGGATATTTTAACTTAGTTGGGTGCCTATTCTGGATCCTAGAACTGCACTCCTCTGTGAGTGCTATTGTTGCATACTCAGCCAATCTACTCTTGTTGGCTACCACATGTTTCACATATTTGGCATACTTAGGAATACCCTGCAACACATCAATCAAAGGCAAGTTAACATGTAGTTGTTTTAGTTATTTAATAAACTTACTAAAAAATTCCTCATTCTTCTGTTTTTTGAATTTCTGTAGGAATGGAGGAGGTGGATTTGCTTTCGGTTCCTCATTCACCCTTTGCTCACTTGGTTCTGCTTCATCTACTTGTTTTCCTTTTTCTTCAGCAGCTTTTGCCTTAGGCGTTAACTCCTCCAATGGACGACCACTATGAGTACTCACAACATTTGCCTGTTTAGGGTTTGGATCAGTATTTCCAAGCAAACCCCCTTGTGGTCGAGAATTTTGGGCACTAGCAAACTTCCTAAATTGCTTCTCCAAATTCTGACTCGCCAGTTGATTATTTCGGACATCAGCTGCCAATTTAGCTTGGTCAGCCATGATTTGTTTCAGCATGTCCTCCACACTCATATCACCTTGCTTGGCAGCTTGCTGATTACCATGACTTTGTTGGTTTCCATGGCTTTGCTGGTTTCCATGTCTTTGCTGATTGTAATGTTGTCCACTACCTTGTGGCCTGTACTGGTTCTGTCCTTGGTGTTGGTTTTGATTACCACCCCATGAAAAGTTTGGGTGATTCCGCCAACTTGGGCTGTAAGTATTTTCATAGTTTTGGTGATTTCCTCCTTGCTGGGCATTACCTACAAAATGAGCAGATTCTGGGTTTGCTCCACATACCTCAGCATTGTGATCTCCACATCCACATACTTCACACCAAGCTTGTGGTTGCTGCACCATATTAACTTGAGCTTGTTGATGTCCTAGTGACATGTTGCTGAAATGAGTAATCATCTTTTTTTGCATTGCTGAAATCTGTGCAGTCAGAGCTGTCACTACATCCATTTCCAACACTCCAGCAGTCTTCTGTACAACCGGTTTAGCTCCTCCTCCGTTCCACTCGGTATTACCTTGTGAAATTCTATTAAGCAATGTAAACAACTAAGCATATGTCTTCTCCAAAGCTTGTCCACATGCAGCAGAATCAAGTAAATTTTTCATGTTTGGTTCCAACCCTTCAATGAAGGTATGGACCAACACTTCGTTAGCTTGATGGTGATGTGGACAACTCAACAGCATGGACTTAAACCTGTCCCAAGCTTGGTACAAGTTTTCCCCTCCTTTCTGTCGGAAGCTTAATATGTCGCTTCTCAGCTTGGCTGTTTTCCCGGATGGAAAAAACTTTATCAAGAACTTCCGGGAAAGTTCATCCCTAGATGTTATGGAATTTGCAGGCTTAGAGTTCAACCATCTTTTGCTTCCCTTAGCAGAGAAAAGAGGAATAATATGAGCCTCACATAATCAGAGTTCACTCCAGTTGGGTTGTACGTGTCACTGATCTCGAGGAAATTCTGACTATACACTCATGGGTCCTCATGAGATAAACCAGTGAATTGCCCATTTGTGTGCAATAATAGCACCATGTTCTGCTTCAATTCGAACCTCCCACCAGCTGTAGGTTTCTAAATACTTGAGATAACATTGGTGGTCTGTGGGATTGCCACATCTCTCACTATCATTTCTGCCATCAGTGCAGGTGAGTCTTGATCCTCCCTTTCTTCGAAAGTTTCTGGTTCACTAGCGACAAGAGGAACATGATATGTGAGTCTTCTTTGCCTTCTCCAGTAGCGAACAAATCTCTCCGGTTTAGCTAGAGGCTCTACCAAGTCTTGGTCGTCTTCCAGTGTGAAAACATGACACAACTTGAGAAATGAAGAGACAAGCTCAAGCTGTCAACGTTTGTACAAATAATTTAGACACTCAAAAATTAGATATTTTCCCATTGTAAAGTCCCCGAAGTGGCTCCAAAAACTTGTTGCGTCCAAAAGCACACGCAAGTGCACGTGGTCACTCAAGTAGTACAACAACTCTTTCAAGCCGGATTATCGAACCCAAAGAAATTCAAATCAACAAATAATAAGTTTATTTGTGTCTAAAATAATTTACTTATGCGACAGAAAATTCAGTAATTTGTTTGTAACTACTAAGTTGAACAATCGCCAAAACTAATTACTACACTTAAACAATTTCAAACAAGGAAATTTCACAAATTGGGGAAATATTCCAGGGTTGTAGAATAAACCGATTTTAGGCATAACATTAATTTATCCTAGCATTCGACAGGTTAACCTCATTATGGATTTGCAAGGTTAATTTTACGATCATGATCTCACAACCTCTAATCGCCTACCACCATCGACAACCTAACTACATCATTGAGTGGGGATATGCATGAACCAATAGTGGAGCATTAATCTATCATCTTACATATTAATCAAGCGCGGTATAAAGGTATAATACTATCCTATATACGAAACACTCTAAACTTTACCCTAGAATGTACACGCTTCTCACATTATTTGTTCTATCCCTCTATTCATCTTCCGAATTCAAGAGTGGACTATGAGTTTATTTTAGTGTTGATCAGTCATTAAAATAGTTAAACAAGAATGTAAGCATAAATCACAAGAAAACATATTTCATGCTAGAAACAACTATTATTACACCATTAATCGTAGCTAGAACCCTAGAAAAAGGGAACTTAGCTAGTCATAGAACAAAACATCATCAAATAATGTTTATGGATCATAAAAGGGTTTACCAAAATGAAAGAGTAGAAGAAAAGCCCTAGATAGTGTCAGCAAAATCGCCCAAATCGTTGTTCTCCCATTTTTCAAAAACTAGATAATGATAAAATAATAAAACTAGACTATTTATAGTCTAAAATAAAACACGTGACTGAATTCTGGTGTCCAGGTCCGCGACGCAGACTTGTTCCCTCGCCTCAATTTGTGCACAAAAAGATCCTCTCTGCGACGTGCATTCCACTGTTAAGTGGAATTTGTTTTATGCATGCAAGTTTCTGCTTCGCATCGCGGAGCTGCTTCCTCCTAGTGTATTTTCCAGCTTCTTGGCCATTCTCTTCAGCAAGTTTGTCTTTTATTTTCTGACCTTTGTCCATGTGCCCTTTTTAGCTCCTTCTTCTTTGCTTTTCACCCTGAAACATCTAATCATAGTGGTTAGAGGAAACGAAATCAATAGACTCCAAAATTTCAGTTATGACTAAGAAATTGCTCTCAAGCTTAGCTATATATATGGGATAAATTGGTTATTAGACACATAAATACGCCTAAGATCACTTATGCATCCTATTCTTGTATAAATGAAAGTAATGTGGATTGATGTATCTTGAATTGGTAGGCTTAAGGCATCCTTTTCTTGTATTGATGAATGTGACCTTGAATGTTGTATCTTGAATTGGTAGGCTAAGGCATCCTCTTCTTGTGAATTGAACATATCTTGACTAAATGAACACGAATCGATAAACCTAATGTTGGTAGCCCTTTCCTAAATGAATGATGAAGTATTCTAGGCTATGTCTTGAACCAGTAGACCTAGTGTTGGTGGACCTTCATGATGAGTCTAGAAACTAATGTGATGATAAACCTTGAAGCGGTAGACCTAGTGTTGGTGGCCCTTCAATGTGTGAAATGATGAACCTTGTATCGGTAGACCTAATGTTGGTGACCCTTCTTGATGATTCAATGAGTTATCCATGTAATGTACCTTGAATCAGTAGACCTAATGGTGGTGGCCCTTTCATGTGTAATGTACCTTAGGTCGGTAGGCCTAATGTTGGTGGCCCTTTCAAGTACAATAATGTTAATGAAAATGAACTACTCTATGGGAATGAATGCTAAGCACCGAGTGGATATGGTAAGATGGAAACTCTCCCCATGCTAGGTTAGGGTTCCAATGAACATCTTCCTATCCCATAACTATGTGCCCACATAGGATATTAGCTAGTGGAATCCACTTAAGCTAAAATGTTACCGATTCTACCTTAGGCAAGTAGACCAACCCTTACGATGTGGGATAGTACATCGGATTCCATGTTAAGCTCACATGGTCTATGTCGGTTAAACGCTTATTTCCATCATGTGAGATGTGCACTATGATTTCTTGAGAAGTTCTATGAAGTGTGGGTGATAGTATAGGATGCCATCCATGCATTGCACAAGTAGGCTTTGAGAGAGTCATAGTGAATTCTCTAATGTCTTAATGACTAATGAATGAAAGTTCTCTAAATGAAGTAAATGAAGAATGTGACTTATATGCTTAATCTGATGATGCATGCTATACTTGGATTGTATTATGAGTTACTTCCTTGTCATGACTTATGAAATGTCTATGTCTCTTATGTATGAGTATTGTGTAAATATGGGAAGGATGAATGGAAAGTTCACTTTTGGTGGCCTTGATGTGGTACTTAGTGTGGATGGTGGTATGGGACGCTATTCATACATTGTACATAGTATAGTTTGGGGTTGCTTGAGGTGAAAGCTTAATGTAATGAAATCTCTTATATGGTTGATTATGTTCTAATGTGAAGAAATGACTTGTATGTTGGTTATGTTTGTATATTATGCCTCTTATACTTATGTTCATGAAGTTTTCTCAAATTGGCATAAAGCATGACTTTAAAACAAAGTGTCCATTTTAAGCATGTTTTTGCATGGCTATCATACTTAGTACTTAATTGTGCTAACCCATATTTCTTTATTTTTACTAAAGTGTAGGGATTGGCACTCAATTCGATTCTCTCTAGTTGAAGCTTGGATTGAGTTCTTCCAAGACTATTGGTATGTCCTCATGGATTCGAGGACAAGTACTTTGATGTTTCATTTCTTTCATGTAATATACATTTGTTAGACTTTCTATTGTAAAGGGTCGTGACCCTACTTTTGATTCGGATATTGTTTTTAGATGGCCATGTGAGACTAGTAGATTTCTGCTGTTTTAAATTAAGTTTTTGATTATATGGATTTAAAGAAAAAATTTAATTCTGTACCATTATCCTTATATCGAATGCTATGAGGCTTGTATGAGACTTTTCGGAGTCTTATACGTTGTGTCACTTCCGGGGTGTAGGCTCGGGTCGTGACATATCATCACCAATGTGAAGACTTTTGTTTAAAGTAGAGTATCACTATCTATAGTAACATTTTGATAAAGTGTCATTACATGTCCGATCCAATTTATACAAGATTTTCAATTGATGTAATAGTGTTTGTGTAAATATCGATTTGGTAAATTTTATATCAATATGTTTTATCAATTATTGTTTTTTTCGTTAAATATTTTGAATAAGGTGCTTTTAGAACATTCTTCAAAATACATTTACTTTAATCTAGAAAATGTTAAGATATTATATTATTTTTGTTGATTATTTGAAATAATAATTTATATAGGTTAAAAATTGAGTAAGTTTTAGGAAGAGTAAACATAATAATCATAGTAAGGCTCTATAGCTATATTTTGATAATTGCGCTCCATAGCTATAGTTTGGTTTGCTATGAAGGTCATGATTTGTATGATTCGCGAATTAAGTTGTATATTTTTTGTATCAATTTATATATACGAACGAACAAGTTTGTATAATTCAATTTTGTTGGTAGATCAAACAATGAAATTGTATTATATTTGTTTAATCGTTTATACGTTCAGGTGTAATGATATGAATTGATCCGTTATGTATAGATTCATTATTATTATGAAAAATTGGATGATTCCTATATGGAACCTTTTTGTTTTTTTTCTAGATTTGTATACATATACATTATATGTTTATTTGTATCTCTAAAAATTGTGTTTGTATATTTATGTGAATTTGTATATGTATATGTTCTCTCTGTTATACTTTGTATTTTTTATTATGAACAATGGGATGATCTATATATGGAACATTTTAGTTTTTTCTACATATGTATGCATATATATTACAGATTCATTTGTATCTCTGAAAACGTTTTACTTTTTCTAGATTTGTATACATAGACATTACAAATTTGTTTGTACCTCTGAAAATTGCATTTGTATATTTACGTGAATTTGTATATGTATATGATCTTTGTGTTCTCCGTGGGTCCCTAGAAAGATCGGTGAAACATTAGATGTGAAATAGAAATAATCTAGATAGTAGCTATAACATTTAATTTGATTTAAATGTTTGTTATTATGTACAGTTGTAACACCCCAAAAATTTCTAAGTTAAGACCAGAACTATTCTTCATTTACATATAAGGTCGTCTCGGGTGATTTTTAAATTTCCCATACGTGTAAAGGTAAATTCTTTAGTGTGAGAATGATTTTGGATATCAATTAAGGTCTCTAAAAACTCCTAGCACAAAGTTGAGTTGAAAGTTTCCTCACCAATTAAGTTTTGATGTAAGATTTTACTTGGGTCAACTTTAAACGACCAAATCTCTTAGAATATAAAGAGTTACGTGACCCATAACCTATCAAATTAAAGGTATTTGAATCTTCTTTCCAATGCCACCAATCTTACATCAATCCAAGTTTCGAGGAAAAAGTTATGACCATTTTAGTAACCTGATACAGTGCAGTGACGAATTAGCAGACGGGAAAATATTAAAAAGGGTCGTTTTTGTCTTTTTACCTCTAATAAAACTCTAAACGAATTTCTTGACTAAATAAAGGCTCAAAACAATCAGATTTTCATCTCTTAATCCCCATTTTCTTCTCTCTCAAACCCTAAGGCAAAAGCCTAAGGAAAATCAAAGTAGGAGACTTCATTCAAGATTCTTTTCATCTTTTTCAAGATTCTTCTTCAAGGTAAGTTCTTCTCCAAAAATTACATTCTTTCCAATTAAAATTCCTTCATACAATTATGAATCATTAATGAAAATTATAATTCTTGACCATTGAGTTTCAAGAAACTAATTCAAGAAATCTCAAGAAAGGTTTTCTTGATTTTTCTCCTTCAAGCTAAGGTTTCAAGGCTTCTAATCAAGTTCTTCTTCAAGATTCCTCAAGATTTTTCAAGAACCTTGTTCTTCCAGGTATGTAAGGCTATTAGAGTGTTGGACTAGTTCATCCTTACTCCCTACATCTACTTTAAAATGAGTAAAAGAGTAATGTAGGATTCTATCCCTAGATTTGAGTATTCTTGAGATGAGTTGATTTTGAGTTCTCAAGTTCCTGTTTCTTTTTGAAATTCTATTCCTAATTATTGAATTTTTATATGTTATGTATTAAGATTCTTGAGTTGATTCGTTCATGTTTATATTTCAACATGAACCCTATGAATTGAGTATTCTTGAGATGAGTAGTGCCCTTGAGTTCTGGGTACTGAGTTTTCATATTATTATTAAGACCCCTGAGTTGAGTCGTTCATGTCCATAATTCCGTATGAACCCTATGAATTGAGTTATAATTTTTGAAAAGCTTTTTAAAGCCAACATTTGAGTTTTTAAACTGAGTTTTTGAGAAAGTAAAGATGAGTTTTGAGAAAGAGTTCTTAAAACATGATTAGTATGATAGTCGAGTATGCTATCAGTGTTTAAGTAGAAAGATATCTACATATACCATCAATGTTTATGCAGTATGACTTCCCTAATCATCAATGATCATATCACAATATGATTTTGATATATTTTTTAGAAAGAATTTTCAAGTATGAATTGAGTAAGAGTATAAGGGAACTAAGTATTCCCAAAAGTATCAGTTTTTACATTGATAAAAGAGAAATTTTGATTTCTAAATGAATTATGAGTTCAAAGATATTTCAAGAGCAGTTACCTCTTTTAAGAGGATAGTTTGAGCAATTATCTCAAACTAGAGGAAGAGTATATTTTTAAACATTGAGCATGAATATATATTATTGAGAGTAGTATTGAGCACAGATATGGGGATACGTTCAGACTACTCACATTCCTCATAAACCATGTATGCCAACATGGATACAGGATCATACTTTTTAGATGAATCCTAAGTGCCTTCGGGCAGAGCTTAGTGGATCCACTTAGTTGAAGTGTCCTATATCGCGGTAGGTATATGATAGTTTTGGCAGCGTGGGCGAGACATTGTATCATCATGTAGCTCATATTAATAGTTGTCGGTTAGAGAATCTCCCAATAGAGTTAAAGTGTATTTTTATAT